TATATATATATATTATACATACATACATATACATATATATATATTTACTTTACATAAAAATTAACAAATGCGCCTTACACTAAATGTGAGTTCGTCCGCGAGTTTTTTTTGTTCTTTCACACAAATTAATAACATACGTGCGCCTCGCGAATATTACACCACTTTCACCGAAAGTTTCCCATCCGTTTCGTCGCTCGTGATATATTAAACCACAGACTTTTCGCCGAACTTCAGATTGGGATTTGCCAATACGTCGAAGCTCGGATCACCGTCTGTCGTCATTCTGCCTAACCAGGAACAGAGCAGTATAAGCCCGACCAAAAATAAAACAACTACGACGGCCATCAAGGTGTATCTCTTGTACAAGGAACTCGCGATCCGCCGTCGTACCGGTGCTTTAGTCGATATCAATTTCCACCATCTGAGAATCCACTCTATCGCAGATTTCCGCTGATACTTGTTCTCATCGTGGTCAAAGGACACGTCCTTCGGATCGTCGTAGGCCTCGCAGACCTTCCTGGATGCCTGAGTGGATAGTGGACCCAGAGAGGACGAGTCGATGTTCACGACGGAGTAAGGCGTTTTTTGATTATTCGCTATGTGCACGTTGCTGACGTTCGAGTTGCTGCTTGTGCCGCGAGACACCATCTGAGGCGGCGACGACGATGAAGTGGTCGCCACATGGTTTTGGTACAGAAAGTTCTCGACCGAGGGACATTCTTTCTCCGGCTTTTGTTCCCTGTCATCGCTTAGCTGCGAATAAAAAGCATATAAGAAAACATTTTCAACACGTCAATACCAGCAGCATACCAGCGGCAAACCAAGACCAGCACGGGCCCAATTGACTGCGGCTAATTTCTCCCTCAGTACGTCGGCAACTGGTGATACCAACTTGGGTTGTGGAAAGATACACAGTCTACACACAGGACAGGTATATCCTGCCGGTGCTGTTGTTGCTGGCAAATTTCTAGCATACTGATCCAAACATGCCCAATGATACATATGATAACACGTCAGTCTTACACAGTCTCCATCGCTCAATTGACCAGAACACAGTGTACAGATTGGATTATAGTCGTTATCGTGAAGCCATAACAGATACGATTGTACTATACACTGAAAAAGATTAACAAATGAATGAACAAATCTTTGCACTCATAATATGGTAGGTAAGATAAAAGTACAGAATCACAGAGAAAGACTATTCCTTACTAACCGAATTATTTATGGGACTCGAGGCATGCGGATGTTTTCAAGTGCCATTAGATACATCAATATGGCCAATATCAATTGTGGGAAGATATTATACGCTTGAAAGTACGCGTCTGAAATATTCTACAGTCTGCATGTCAAACTTATTCCCTGCTAAAATATAAATCTCCGAAAAAAAATATTACTTTAGATTTGCACCAAGTGAATGCGACTCTCTCCCAATTGATGGGATATAGTTAGTAGTGCTTGGTACAGATTAAAAATTTTGTTATGAGTTGGATTAATCACATGTTTCAATTGGGAATAAAGAATAAGCTTGACAGATTCTCTGCAGGCTATTCTGAGTATACACAATTTTGAGCGCATTCTTCCTTTGACTGATATCAACAATATCAATACATCTAATGATATTGAAATATCCATGCTTTGCTCCCAAAGACCCCTAAATAACCCTTCGTTTGGTATTTCTCGTGTCATAGATTGTTTCCTAAACAGATGGCAAATATTTATCTTTTGTTGATGAGTACACAGAGGAAATTTATTAACAAATAGATGGAAACAAGCTATTATTAACAACAGGCATGTATATGTATACATATATATTAAAACTACATTGTGTGAAAAAGTTTTTTATCGCGGAGGAATATACAGATTGAGGAATTGTGTCGATAGAAATATTTAAAAATGTTGTCGCGACAATGTACCTTCGGATGGCTCGTCACCATGCAATGTTCGCATACATTAACACGATGCTCAAAACAAAATTGATTCGTTACTCTTCTCTTCGGACACTTGCAGAGACCCATGTTTGCGTGAGCGAAATGATCGTTGAATAAAACGATTGATAACCCAACTCGTCTTCACCGAGACCACGAATGTATTATAATAACATGTTGAAAGTTCCGAATGATAGCAGCCGCATTAATTACACAGATCACCACATCTCCGTCGGCCACGTCGTCTGACATTTCGATCACCGGAAACAACCAATGGCAGCCCGCCATCCAATTGGTTCGCACGCCGGAAAAACCGCGAAAATATATAAGATAAATGTATATCTTCGCTCTTCATCCTTGTTTCCTATTATCTGATAAATTATTAATAATAACATCAAGTGGCGCTTATAAACGTTCGAAAGCTTTGGTACATCTCAACGACAAGTCAGTCTTTTGCTCTCAAGCGCTTCGATTTACCAAACATTTCATTTTCAGATATCACGACTCAATTGTTACGTTCAGCAAAGAAAATAGCTTTGCAATTGTTGTAAAATTGGTAAATCTGATTGGTGTATGCTCTTGGGCCGATATTCATAGTCGGATCTTATATATATAAAATCGTCTCAAGTTCATCGTCACATATTGTATATTGGCTACGAAGCATTACTTGAAGATAAACTTAAATAGTCTTAAATATAAGATCCAATTATAAATATCGGCTACAGATTCAGCCAAGTTTAAGACCATACATCATGCAGATTCACGAATAAAGCTGCTTTCTCTACTGGATGCTTTTTCTTCTTTTCAAACACTCAAAGGCTGATGTTAGGTTGCGTTCGGGAAATGTACTGTAGTTTGGTGTGCGTCGTTCGGAAATATTTCAGAGACACAGCATGTGCTACCTACAAACTACACGACGAAAAAAAGGGGAAATCGATATGGATCAAAGTATCTAGGGAAGGAGTGCAGATCGATCGTGAAATCCACAGTGAAGAGGAACGTCACTCTTTACAGTAGTTCATCATCGGGTGTAAGGATGGTGTTACATCTAGAGAAAATATTGAGACTATGAATAGTTCCGTAGCAAAATTCCGACAAATGTCGTTCGCAGTTGTTTTTCTGCTCACACGTGTCAAACATATGAAATGCCGTACATTAAGTGAAAGCTGAAATTTGTGCCGACATTTTAAGAAAGTATTCATCGAAATCCGTGACGTATACGAAGTTTAATTATATTTCGAACGTGGAAGGAAAAAACGTGTATTTTCGGTGCATTTCGCATTTTTATTTCCGAAAAGGCAAAAACGCGTCGCAAACTTACAAAAAGATATGCGCCGTGTACGAAGAGAATGTCGTAAGCGAAAGTGTGTGTCGGAAGTGGTTTGCGAAATTACGTTGCGGAGATTTTAATCTCCAAGATGCTTCTCGCTCTGGTCGGCCAGTCACTACTAATGTCGATCAAGGCTTTAATCGACTCCGACCGGTATTTGACGACTACAGAGATGAACATAACCTCAACATTGACCAATCAACTGTTTCGAGACATTTACGGAGGCTTGGGATGGTAAACAAGCTTGATGTTTGGGTGCCGCACGAACTGAGCGAAAAGAATGTAATGGACCGAATTTTAGCTTGCGATTCGCTGCTCAAACGCCATCAAAACGAACCATTTTTAAAGCGGATGATCACTGGCGATGAAAAGTGGATTGTCTACAACAATATCAGTCGAAAAAGATCATGGTCAAAGTGCGGGGTCAAAGTGCAACTGCTCAGACGGTCGCAAAGGCTGGATTACATTCGAAGAAAGTCATGCTCAATATCTGGTGGGATTGGAAAGGAATCGTCTATTATGAGCTGCTACCACCCAACAAAACGATTGATTCGACCAAGTACTGCTCACAACTGGCTAAATTAAAGCGGACGTCCTCAAAAACTACCTGGATGACTTCTTTACCCAAAAATCTTAGGACTTCTATGAAAGTGGGATAACGAAGCTCGTGGAAAGGTGGCAGAAAGTTATTGAACAGAATGGAACATATTTATTTGATTAAAATCGCTTTTTTTGCTAAATATTTTGCGTTTAAAATTTACTCGATTTTCGCTACGGAATTATGCATAGACTCAATTAAGGACTCTAGAAATTCACATCCAATAAACTTGTACAATGTATCCTTAATGAGCGAACATCGATGTCTATCAAACATCGATCATCCCTACTGCTATATACTTTACGCCTATTGTAGAGACGGCCCTTTTGAACTCACTTTTATTGATAAAAGTGCTCCTGAAAGTAGCTTAAAAGGCACCTGATTGGCTGAAAAGTCACATTTAAGACACTCCTATCGATAAAAGTAAGTTCAGAATATTGGCAATATGTGCAGGTTTGTTTTTTATAATCGAAATTATTAACAGAAACGATAAAGTGACAAACCTAATGTTTGTCAATTTGATTTTTATTAATATTAAAAATTTCCGAAATGTGTAAATACGTTTAGATAGTATAATACTCGATAAAAAAGAAAAACGAGATGTCGTATAAAAAACGATCAGAATTAAATTCCAACATATAACGTATCGCATAATATTACATCATTATAATCTAATTAATCTTAACCACGAAAGCGTACATTTGACGAAAGGCAAAAAAAGCTTGGCCCATGAGGGGATCGAACCCGCGACCTTCGCGTTATTAGCACGACGCTCTAACCAACTGAGCTAATAGGCCAGTCGGTGAGAGTGTTTGAACAATTGAATCATGACGTACAGAGATTAGGAAAATATATAATTATAATATTACGAATAAAATACGATAATGTATGTACGGAACGTTGCATCAATGTGTTCGAAAAATACAACGTTTGTGCAAGTGTTGAATGATTATCACCTTTCATCGAAGTAATTTTTTGGATCCATAATAAATCTAAAGGACATAAAATATCTCACTGAGCGCTTATTCCCGTTTACCGTATTATAACCGTATTATAACCTTCCTAAATGCAACTGATAATTTAAGTTGCTATAGAGAAATTACGTTTGAAATATCATATATAAATATATGTTTCTATTATCTTGATAAAACGTTGTATTCTCTTGTAAATATTCGAGTAGCTTTTCGCGAAATCATCAGTTGTAACTATCCACCAAATGTATATATTTACTCATATAATCGAAATTCTAGAAACAGCTTCCTCAGTAACCACAGTCGATTCTCTGGCGATGTTTGAAAGCATCGGGCGCAATTGTATTTCAAAATTCATTGTCAGCGCTGAAGATCTATAGTTACAGTAGTATACTATATGGCTGCATTTGAGGAGCCACGTCATTATATCTTTGCTATTCATTAAGCCTTTTGCACAATGTAAAAACCACAGGCAACAGGGGCTCGATTCTTGAATCATTCGTAATTATTCGTAACTTTCGACTGATATCCAATGAGCGTACTGCTCTTGCTATGAAAACAATGCATTCATTGGATATCACTCGCAAATTACGAATAGTTACAAATGATTCGAGGCCCGATTCTTAATGCGATTAATTTCGTATTCGAAATTTCGTATACGAAAGCTAGGGTCCACTTGACGCTGCAAGCGCTTTGGAGCGCCGTACGGACCATTGCAGCGCCGAGGGCTGCCCACAGGACGCGCTTACCGTACGGTAAGAAACAGCCAATAAACTTTTAGGTCTCATGGAAAAACGTTGATTGGCTACCGCATCGCTTCTTGCCGCGCGGCAAGCGTTGTCTGTGAGTAGCGCGACATGACGCGCGATGAGCGTGCGGCTCTTCTGGAAAAGCTCATTGGATATCACGTGCATCGTGTTCGCTGCGAGAAATATTTCATGTACGAAATTAATCGAACTCAAGAATCGAATGGGTCAGGCGGTGAATATTGGAGTGCAGCTTGTGTTACCGATTGCGTGCTACCTGCCCGCCATCTGTGGTGCACATAGCGCTCACCTAACCTAACCGACGATCAGCAGTAAGCACACAGTGACAAACGTCAAGCGCGCATTCGGAAGGAGGGTTACGCACCTTGTTGAATGATTCGTCGCAACGTGGACGCAAATTATGGCGCATCGTAAAAAGACGACGAGCAACGACGAGTCTTGTCATCGATCGTCGTCGTTGCGTAAAAACACGAAGCATCATGTCAGTGATGCCGAGGTTGTCTTCTCATCGTCCTCGTCGTCCGACGAGGAGGTGGCCGCCGTTTGTCGCGGCGGGCGCAGAAACTCGTCGCCGTCGGATCGTTTCGTCGTCAGGAACCGCGTCGAACAGCCGACAGGTCTTTCACAAATTCTTGTTTATTACAATCGTCTCTTCTTCTGAGGAGACAAAAGTCTATAAATTCTATAAAGTCTATAAAGTCTATAAATTTTGTCTTTCACAACGTTTCGCAGGTCAGGAGAACCGAGAGCGCCGCGAGAGCAATCCTTTCAGTTTCAAGGTCTTCTTGAAGAATGGCACCGCCAATTATCATAACACCGGGGCGCGACCGAAGGTATACTATACACCGGCATCAAGTCCCGGCAGCCACGAGGCTAAAGAAACTGGTGTCTACTCCTCCCGGAATCCTACAGAACTGCCAGATTTTGTGCAAGATCACTTGGTCATAGAGCAGTGTTATCTGAACCATGCAGAGCCAGCCACTCAGCAGGTGCTGCTTGACATGGATAATCTCCCGGACTTTGCCTTGAACAGCATGGAACAGTCGCGATTACGAAACGAGAAGAGGGATGATTCCAACGTCCTGTGCGATTTGCCGTTTGATCTCACCGGCATGCTGGACAAGAGCCTACCCCGAGATCACTCAGCTTCGATGCATTCGAATCACTTGGACTTACCTACCTTTGAAAGGTGTCCTATTGGCACTCCTGTTCATCGTCCTGAACCCACAGGTATTTGTACATGCATACTTGGTGGTTTGTACCGTTTTCAACAATTCCCTAAAGCAACTTTCACTCGGCAGACTTTCCGTTTGATCTGCCCCTTCCCAACGAATCCATTCCCAATGTTGATGCAACCACACGAGACGGCGAAACGAGTGTTCACAAGTCTTTACCGGATTTCTTGAGCGACGGTCCTATACATAACAGGACGACGGATTCGGAACCCAACCCGAGTATGGCCGAATCCACGGAGAGAAGGGTAAGATTATTTTGCACACGAATGCCAATAGCCGTTCGAAATCGGCGTTAAATTGTAGGTCCCATATACTTGTGTATAAAATCTATGTGCGCACCACAAGTATGTATGTGTGGGGATCGGAAGGCATTGAAAGATGTTATAAAACTGATATATACACATGTATGTCAACAGCGGAAATAATGTCAAATTATGCGTTGTAGCTTTTACTCGAAAACGAAAGGTTACGTCACGAGTTGGATGCGGCTCGAAGACAAATTAGTGAAAAAACGGATAGGTAATCACTGCCAAGTTTCATTTGTCATATGTTGGTGATCGGTACATGATGCGCTAATTACAGGATTCGTTCGTTGGAAGTAGAATTGTTGTCCAGGAAAGAAATCGAGCACGAGGAAACAGCACACTTGGAGAAGGCAATGGAGCAGGTTGAGGATAATCTAAAGCAGAGTACAGTAAGTATAGAAACAAGTGTATCAATGTTACGTTAAAAATTATTATTATTATACAAAGCGCCGGCTTATTTCTTCACGTTGAATCCGATTGTGCCAACAATGCGTTACGTGTAGCATTTGTATAAAACGATTATACGAAATTGAACACATTTGTATTTTGCAGAAGAGAGCAGTCAACGCCGAAAGCACTGTCACATCATTGAAGAAGGAGATTAAAGCTTTAACGGTTAGTACGTACTTGTGAAAGTTTTATGTAAAAGATGAGGTATGAAACTAACGTAATTATTCGATCGCACCATTCAGACAGAGATATCATTCTTACGATTGGAGAACAGTGAGCTCCGGGCCGGTATTGCCGCAGCAGGACAAAGCGAATCGAATGCAACTGCTGCCAATATGAATCGTACCGTCAGAAGACTCGCCCGAGATTTATTTGCAGCTGCGTCGTCGGCCGAAGTGTCTCTCAGGTGAAAACAATATTTTATTCGTTGTATGATTGCTTTTTAAATGATTTGTAACCCGCAATAAAATTGGAAGAGACTATATTTCCAAACCGTTTGGAATTCCGATCCATTTCTCTGTAAAACTTTCTGTAGCTTCATAACGCGTAATACCAATTAAAAAAACGGGAGGGAAGAGTGAGAAAAACTGAATTTATTAAATCAATTTGAAAGTGAATTTGTTATCATGTATTATAAATTATATGAAATGGATATTGTGCCTCGTATCCCACCAAATTACGACATTATATATCTGTTTACAGGCAACTAATGTCCGGTGTGGACAATCTGCGAGTCCTCGCATCGACTTTAGAGAACGTGGATAGGATAGAAGACTGGACCAAAGACTTTTTACCTGACTTTGAGGAGGACAATGCCACCGGTCCCCCAGTATAATGACTCTCTCTCTCTTCCCTCCCCCCTCTCTCCCTCTCCTTCTCTCTTTCTATATACATATATACATAAACTTTATATTATATATATATATATATATATAGTTTTAATTTTATTATATATATATATAATTA